TTGGCGGCAGCGGGACCTGGAGCTACGCAGGGACAGGGGGACATGGGATGGGCGGGACCTGGAGTCACTCGGGGATAGGGGGGACACGGGATGGGCGGCAGCAGCACCTGGAGCCACGCAGGGACAAGGGGACACGGGATGGGGCGGGACCTGGATCTGCCCAGAGCCGGGAGGGACACGGGATGGGCGGGACCTGGATGTACCCAGCGCCGGGAGGGACACGGGATGGGCGGCAGCAGCACCTGGATCCACCCAGTGCCAGCAGGCTGCCACGGGGCGGGCAAAGTGCGAGGCAGGTGTGACAAAAGGCAGCCACGGCCAGGTAGGTCTCTGCCAGTCCCTGTGGGCACGGGGGTGCTGGGGTCAGGGAGGAGCTGTGGCCACGGGAACAGGGTGTGTCACGGCTTGTGCCACCACTCTCTGCCATCCCTGTCTTCTCCCCTCGAGGACCATGGGGCTCCAGAGTGTGACCATCCTGCTGGGCATTGCCCTCCTCCTGCTGGCACCCGGCAGCACCCAGGTGAGCCCTGCCTCCCCTGCCCTCCCGCTGTCCCCTCTGATGAGGGGACCCACGTGTGACCCGTGCCACCCCTCGGGACCCCCTTGTCTCCCCACAGGCTCTGAGCAGCTCTCGGTGGAAGGACCTGGCCATGCAGCAGGATTTGGCTGAGGAAAGGTAAGAGGTGCTCCCACCTGGCTTGCAAAAACTAATAAAGCAACACCCCAACATGGAAAGTGTTTCAGGGGGGAATAAATTGTTGCTTTGTGCCCCCCTTGTTGCTTTGTGCCCACCTTGTTGCTTTGTGGCCCCCAAAATGAAGGGAGTCCCAGCTCCACCTCCCTTCCTCCCTGAATTATGCAAATTCCCTGAGCATCCAGCTGGTTTCTCTATTCCTTTTGTGAAACAAATATTTCAGTTTGCACCCTGAGATCCTAACTGGTGCTTCATGGGGTGTGGGCAATCTCCCCAGGGTCCCTGCACTCCACTGGGGTGGGATTCTTCTGGGACAGGAGGGTATTTGGCAACTTCTCCTTGATGATTTTGCTCCCCTCTTCCAGCATCCTGGGTGTAGGAGCACCAGAGGAGGGTGAACCAGGTATAAAGGTCTTCTCCAGCAGTGCCTGGGCTCAGAGGGGCCCACCCCAAGTCCAGGCAAGGCCAGAAGAGGATGGTGACCACCTGTACCGGCCCCAAGACGATGCCAGGGATGCCAGTGCCCGTGTGCCATTCTGGATGCCAGCCCCAGAGGTGCAGAATGGCCCGGAGGAGGATCGTGACCACCTGTACCACCCCCAGGATAATGCCAGGGAGGTCAATGCCCGTGTGCCATTCTGGATGCCAGCCCCAAAGGTGCAGAATGACCCAGAGGAGGATCTTGACTACATCCACCACGGCTGAGTGGAGATGTGCCTGGGCTGTGAAATGAGGGGTGGGAACTGCCCCTGGGGTTTCCTGAGGAAATTTGTCCCTTCCTACTGAGCCTTAAGCCTCACCAATAAACCCATCCCTTCTCCACATCCTGGTGGGCTCCTCATTACTGACAGAAACCTGCTGGGGCCTCCAAACCTGCAGGAACTTCCTCAGGATAACCCCAAGGCACCAGGCAGGGTGAGGATGATTCCCTGAGACAGGAAACTCAGCCCATAATTCCAGCCTCAGTTCAGTCCAGGTGAGGCTGAGGCAAACTCAGCACATTGGTTCTGCCCCAGAAGGTGCCACAGGCTGTGGAACACCCAGAGCTATGCTCCACGAGGCTGCTCTTGCCCAGCCCATCATCAGAAAGCAGTGAGGGAGCGTGGGGGGGGCTCAGTGACCCCCAACATTTCCCAGCTAAGGCAGGAGCTCGCAGCAAGGATGCCCCATCTCCCAGCAGCACCTAGAAAACCCTTTAATAGCGCAGGCAGAGGTGGTCCCCACTGCTGGCTGTCACCCCAAGCGTGGCTCGCCGACGGGTCCCGGTCCCCTGTGCGGGGTAAGGCGGGGGGTGGACGGGCTGCAGGAGGCCGTGGGGACCTGCACCACCCCAGGGACCTGCAGCTGCCGGGCTCAGCTGTCGGTGAACTTGGCCTTGCGCTTCTCCACGAACGCTGTCATCCCCTCCTCGCGGTCACTCTGGGACAGGCAGAGAGGTGAGGTGACAGTGAGGGGGGGCTGAGGCAACCCTGTTATCCCTCATGCCACGAGGGATGCCTGTTATCCCTCATCCCCCTACTCACAGTGGCAAAGGTGGCGTAGAAGAGGCGCTTCTCTGTCCTGTTCCCCTCTGTCAGCGTCGTTTCAAAGGCTGAAAGCAAGGGAGAAGTTGGGGAGACCCCTCTGCCTGGCCTTTTGCAGCCCCCCCACGGGGTTCCCAGTCGGCCCCCAGCCCCTACCAGCATTGACTGACTCCTTTGCCATGGCAGCCACCAGCTTGGAGTTCCTGGCGATTTTCTCAGCGCAGGCAATGGCTGCGTCCAGCAGCTTCTCCACAGGGTAGACCTTGCTGACCAGACCTAGGACGGGCAGTGGGAAGTGAGGGGATGGCTCTCTGTCAGACCCCTGCAGTGCCAGGGCTGTCCCACGCTCCCACCTGCCTCCTTTGCCTCCTGTGCTGAAATCTGGTCCCCGGTGAGCACCATCTCCATTGCCAGTGACTTCCCCACTGCCCTGGTCAGCCTCTGTGTGCCGCCAGCACCTGGGGCATTGAGGGAAGGGAGAGGTTCAGAGAGGGTCACCTGGGTGTCCCCAGCCCAGCCAGGATGGAAGCCCCTGGCAGGTGCTGCTGCTCACCTGGGATGGTTCCCAGCAGGATTTCGGGTTGCCCGAACTGCGCCTTCTCCCCGGCGTAGATGATGTCGCACATCATGGCCAGCTCACAGCCACCTCCCAGCTGGCACAGGGGAGGCAGAGATGGGTCAGGGGGTGCCAGGGTGAGGACAGGGATTGCAGGGAGGTGTGGGGGGCACTCACGGCGTAGCCATTGACGGCGGCGATGATGGGTTTGCGGACCATGGCGACCTTGTCCCAGCCGGCCAGGAAGCCACCCCTGTAGCACTCCTGGAAGGTTTTTTTCTGCATCTCCTTGATGTCTGCGCCAGCTGCAAAGGGAAGTGCAGTGGGACTCCAGTCCCCTCCAAAACTTTGGGGTGAGCAGAGGCCATGGTCCTACCTGCAAAGGCTTTCTGGCTGCCGGTGAGGATGATGGCTCCCACGTTCGGGTCGCTCTCCATGGCCTCCAGGGCCCGCCCCAGCTCCGCCATCAGTCCCTCGCAGAGCGCATTGAGCGCCTGCGGCCGGTTCAGCTGGATCAGCCCCACGTTCTTCAGTGCCCCCGTCTTCTGTACCAGCAGGTACCGGAACGCAGCCCCTGCCCGCCACACCAGCACTGCCCCGTTACCCACCGGCTGCCGGGCACCGGGCGGACCCCCGGCCGCACCCCGCCAACCGTCACTCCATGCTATTTAAAGGCGACCTTGATGGCAGCGGTCACCGGCAGCCGGCGGGACGGGCTCGGAGGAGCTCCCAGTGCCACCCTAGCCCGCGAAGATGAAGCCCCGTGACCACCCTGTGCCAGAACAGTATGCGTGGGCACCGAGCGCTGGGACGGGGTGTACGGTCCAGCGGCCCCGGTGCCCGGTGCTGGGCCGCGGTGCCGGTGCCCTGGTATGCAGTGCCGCTGCCCATACATGGCGCAGGGCCCCGGTGCTCGGTGATGGGCTCTGGAGCGCAGCTCCGGAACCACGTGCAACTCGCTGGGCACAGGCCCGGTGCTGGGACCGTACCTTGTGCTGTGGCCCGGTGCCCGGTGCTCTGGCCCCGGTGCACAGCCCAGAGACTCGGTGCCCGGCGCTGGGACCGCACACGGAGTAGGGGCGCGGTGTCCGGTGCCGTGGCCTGGTGCGCAGCCCAGGGACCACGAGCAGGTCGATGGGCACTGCCCGGGGCTACGACCGTGCCCGGTGCAGGGACCCGGTGCCCTGCGCTGAGCACGGGGCTGGGCCAAGCCCACCCCCCCGCGGTGCCCCCCCGGTGTCCCGGTGCTCACCGGCGCTGCAGCCCCGAGCGCCGCGGGGGGCGCGGAGCGGCGGCGGGAGGCGCGCTCGGGGCAGCGCAGTGGCGGCGGTGGCGGCAGCGGGCCGCAGGAGCGCTCGCAGCGCGGCGGCCATGGCGGAGCGCGGAGCGAGCCCCGCCCCTCCCGCCGCCGCCCATTGGTGCAGCCGGCCCCGCCCCGCAAGGCGCCGTTCCCATTGGTCGAGGCGGGGCAGGGGGCGGGGCCGGCCCCCCCGGGCCGTGGGAGGGGGCGCGGAGGCCGCCCCGCGCGGGGGTCCCGCCGTGCTGCCCCGCGGGGCTCGGCGGGCCGGGCCGGCGGCGTGTGCGGGGTTCAGGGGCGGGGAACGGGGAGGGAAGGGGAAAGGGTGAGGAGGGGGGATTCCCCCGCCGCCCCCCGCGTGGGGAGTGGGGGGGAGTGCGGGGGGCGCGGCGGGAGCGCGGCAGCGGGAGCGCGGCCAGGGAGGAGTGGAGAGGAGCGGAAGGAGCCGGCGGCATCCCCGGGTCCGGTGAGCCCCGCGGGTGGGGAGGGAGGGCAGAGGGTGTGAGTGCGCCCTGCGGCGGGGTGTGTGCGAAGCCGGGGAAACGCGTGGGTGTGAGCGTGTGCGAGAGCGTCACCCGCAGGGTTCTGTGGAGCGAGTGTGTGCGGGAGCATCATCCACAGGGTCATGCGGGAGCATCATCCACAGGGGCGTGCGGGATCGTGCGTGTGCGGGAGCATCAGCCACAGGGGCGTGCGGGAGCATCACCCACAGGGGCGTGCGGCAGCGTGCGTGTGCGGGAGCATCATCCGCAGGGGTGGGGAGAGCGCGTTTATGCAACGCGCGGGTGGTGCGTGTGCCGTGACACACGCGTGCGCGGCCGCAGCACACGCGCAAGCGGGACGCGGCGGTGCGCGGTCCCCGGCCCCGGCCGGACGCGGCTGAGCGGCGGGGCTCTCCCTCCCTCCCTCCTTCCCTGCGGCAGGTGCGGGATGCGGCGGAGCGCGGCGGCGTGCTGGGCGCTGGTGCTGTTGGCCGCCACCTTCTGCGACACGGTGGCCGGCAAGGGTGGGCGCGGCGGTGCCCGCGGGGCGGCCCGCGGCGCGGCGCGGGGGGCGGCCCGCAGCCGGCCAAGGGCGGCTGTGCCCCGGTACGGCTCTGCCGGGGCTGCCCTGCGCGTGGCGGGGGCGGCGGCGGCGGGAGCGGCGGCCGGCGTGGCGGCGGGGGCGGCCCTGCGCCGGGCCCGGCTGTCCGGAGAGCTGCAAGCGGGAGACGGCGTCGAGTACCGCGACGGCAACTGGACGGCGGCCGCCAGCGCCTGGACCTCCGCCGCGCCGGCCGGGAGCCCACCGAGCCGGGCGCTGCCCTGGCTCTGCCCGCTGGCCGCCCTCCTCCGCCGCTGATGGATTCCGGGGGACCTGACTGTGCCCGGTGCACCCAGGACGCCGCGAGGACCGGCCGCCCCCCACGGGGCTGAGCCCCACGCCCCGGGCGAGCAGCGGCTCCCGGGGACACGGCCACCCACCGCCGGCGGGGCAGGACCCCCGCGGAAGACCCTCCACCACCACCCCTCCGCACCGAGCCAAACCCCGCCGGCTCGGGCACCCCTCTGCACCGCGCCCCTGTCCGTGGCCCTCGCCGTGTCCGGAGGCCGAGGAGGCGGCAATAAAATTGGGCGAAAGCAGGTGTGGCTGGATGCGGGGCGAGGGGCGGGACCCTGGGATGGCCAGAGCTCGGCCCCTGCCCACACAGGCTTTTATTTCGGGATGGAAGCTCCAGAGCAGGCCAAACCCAGCGAGAAAACAGCTCCCTGGTGAGGAAACAGCTCCCTGGCGGCTTCCAGGTGCCAGCCGGAGGCACCAGCCCTGCCCCCGGCTCTCCATAGGAGCATCACAACAGCGACACCACAGGGCATCCTGCCCCTGCGGCCTCTTGCCCAAAACCGGGGACAGCCCTGGCAGAGCAGCTTCAATCACACCCCATGGCTCCCTGCTGAGGTGTCCCCAGCTCCAAGGGGCACCAGGGTGTCCCCAGTCCACACGGCTGCAGGCAGTGCCTGTCCAGTGACAGGTCTCAGTCCAGTGTCACCCTGCCCAGGCGTCCTGCTCGGAAGTCCCGCAGGAACTCGTAGGCAGCAGCTGGGTAGTTGAGCATCATCATGTTGACATTCCCTGGAGGTGGCAGTGGATACAGGCGTGTCAGTGCAGCCTGGAGCTGCCCTGGGATCCCCAAAACTCCCAAGAACCCTGGATCACCCACCTGTGCCTGTGAGCACCTTCACCTTCTGCGTGCGGCCCTGGCTGAGGGCCACGTGCTTGAGCAGGGGCTCGATGTGGTCGCAGGGCCGGCTCAGCCCGTAGCGCTGCACATACCTGCCAGAGGACATGGCTCACACCCCCCAAAACTCCCTGGGCAGGGCATCTCCATCACCCATGGTGATCTCCATCACCCTCTTGGCACCCTGCCCTACTGGCTCACCTGAACTGCTGCTGCTTGTTCAGGGTGTACAGCAGGTAGTCAGCCATGATGTCCTCCCCCACCAGGTGGTCACGGATGGCTCCTGGAAAAGAGGGTCAAGCCCCAGCTTCCCTCAGCCCTGCCTAGCCCTGGCCAACCCTCCTTCCATCCCCTCACACACAGGGGGTGTGAGTAGCAGTGTGACCCCAGCCTCTGGCTCACCACACAGCGCCAGCTTCATGCCCATCTCCACATCCCCCAGCCGGGGGGGCAGCACGCCGGGGGTGTCCACCAGGTACATCAGGGGCTTCTCACACACCTGGCACGGGGCAGGCAGGGCTGGTAATTAGCACCACACGGCTAACGAGGGAGGCACTGAGCTTGAGTTAAGCTCTTGCTGCAAAGGGGGCCTGAGCAACCCCTCGGTGAGCCTAGAGGTTTCCTGGATGCAGGAACAGTACCTGGATCCTGGACAGCACTGCCTTGGTGATCCCTGGCTCGCCCCCCACCGCAGTGGCTTTGCCTGGGGGCACAAACACAGTCAGGGACACAGTGGCACTGTGCTCAGCTGCCCCCTGAGCCCTGGCACCGTGCAGAAATACCCTTCTTGAGGTGCAGCCTCCGCAGGGAGTTGATGAGCGAGGACTTGCCCACGTTGGGCACGCCGATCACCAGGATGTTGTGCTCAGAGCTCTGCAGGCCAGGGAGACACGGGCAAGGAGCAGCTGGTTACCAACCACTCCCTGCAACAACAGGGAAATATCCCAGGGTTTGCCCTGCCAGGCTCTTCTGGCACATTTGGGAGCAGCCTTGTTCCTTGGCTAGAGAGGGAGAGCCTCCTTCTGCTCTGCACTGGGGCAGCCTCACCCCCTGCACTGGGGGCAGTTTGGGGACACCACAACATAAAAGAGATGTAAAGCTGCCAGGGAGTGCCCAAAGGAGCAGAGCACACTGAGGTCAGACCTCCCTGGGGCTGCAGCTCCTCCCCACGGCAGCTCCCATCTCTGCTCTCTAGGACAGGGACAGGACCAGGGAATGGCTGGAGCTGTGCCAGGCTGGAGATCAGGGAAAGCTGCTTCCCCCAGAGAGTGCTGGGCACTGCCCAGACTCCCCAGGGAATGGGCACAGCCCCAAGGCTGCCAGAGCTCCAGGAGTGTTTGGACACCGCTCCAGGGATGCCCAGGGTGGGATTGTTGGGGTGACTGTGTGGGGCCAGGAGCTGGACTGGATGGTCTTCGTGGGTCCCTTCTAGCCCAGGATGTTCTGTGCCCCTGTGCATGTGCCTCACCTCGGTCCTGTGGTAGCGTGGACCATCGGCCACGAGCCTGGCAACCATGGGGACAACCTGCAGAGGGACAGGGACAGGGCTGGAAAGGGAGTAGCCAGCTGGAGCACCGAGGGCTCTTCCTGAGGCTGGGAGCTCACCAGGGAGCAGGGACTGGGCTGCTGCCCCATTACCTTCTTGACATTGACATCCCGCTGGCAGTCAGTGAAGACTACGTGCGAGCATCCCTGCTGCCTCAGCTGCTCCAAAACCTCCTGCAGGGGACGGGAGGAGGCACTGCTGTCACCTGCCTGTGACACCGGCGCTGCCCCCGCCCGGCCCTGCCCCGGCGCTCACCGGCTGCCGGCGGGGATCAGCCAGATCCATCTTGTTCAGCACCAGGACGTGAGGGCGGATGCCCAGCGCCTCCTGCAGCGCGGGGTTACGGCCCGACAGCGGAATGTGGCTGCGCTAAGGACAGTGACCGCAAGAGCGTAGCGGGAGGGGAATGGAGAGGAGGCGGAGAGGGACAAGGGTGGTGTGGAGGGACAAGGGGCAGGGTTCTCCGGCAGCTGTGCAGGATATTCGAGCGTCGTGCACCTCCACGAGGCAGTCGGCACGGCGCAGCGCCAGGCGCATCTGCCGCAGGCCTGCAGCGCACAGCACAGCGCGGGGTGAGCGCTCGGCGGGGAGGCTGAGGAACTCGACCCGCCGCGCTGCCGCCCCTCACCTTTGGCCATGTGCCGAGGGAACCACGAGGCCACATCGCGGCCGCCGAACTCGAAGCGCTCCCGGAACGCTCCCGGCGCCGTCCCCGCCGCCCTCAGCGCTGCCCACACCCGCATGGCTCCGTCGCGTCACTTCCGCCGCGACCGGAAGCCGCCTCAGTGACAGCCATGGCGGAGCCGCCGCCGCCGCCGCCACCACCGGGGCCTCAGGGGGGTTCCGCCGCCCCTCCCGGCGGCACGGGGAGTGCCGGGGCCCGCAGGGGGCACGGCGTACCCCCTGCAGGCCCCGGAGTGCCCTCCGCGGACCCCGGCACTCCCCGTGCCGCCGTGTCTGAGCCTCAGCCCCCTCGCCCACCCGCCCCGGAGGCTCCCCCGCGGCCAGGCCCGACGCAGGACCCGCTGGACGATCCCCGCTACACCATCTCCAGCACCAATTGGTATTAAACCGACAGCGCCCCGTGGAGCCAGCCCCGCCGCACCCACCCCGCCACCGAGAGGAAGAAGCCGCCGGCGCGGAGGTTTCTCAATAAAGGAGAGCGAAGGGCAAAGCACCGCGGTTTATTTTGCCGCCTCAGGACTGAGGCGCGGGGACCGGCGCCTGGAAGAGCTGGTTGAGTCGCTCGGCCTCTCGCCACCCCGACAGCAGCGCCCCGTGGGTGGTGGAGTAGAAGGTGCGGTGCGTGGCCTCGCCGGCGAAGAGGAGCTGCAGGGGCTGCGGAGAGGCGGGGGGTGAGCGCAGGGGCCGCGGGGCTGGGCTACAACAGCCTCACCCCCCCGCGCTCCGGCACCCCGCGGGGGCACGACCGCTTTACAAACCCAGAACGGGCACTTCCCCTTCCTTAGGAGGCTGGGAAGGTTGGGAGGAGCCGCCTGTTCACGACTTTTGTGGGAATGCCCCCTCCCCCGTGGAGCCCAGCGGGTGATCCGAGCACTTGGTGACCCCCGCAGAGGGTCAGCAGTGCCACCTCCCTGTGCTCCTGTCCCCACCGCCGTGTGTCTGTCTGTCCCCGCCACACCCCCTGGGGCTGAGTCCTCACCCGGGGGTCCCGGGGGTCTTCGGGCAGGGGCTGTGCGAGCACATCGATGTCGTCCCCCGAGCTGCCCACGGCCACGTAGCTGTAGGAGCCGCGCGTGTAGGGAGCGCTGTGCCAGCGGGAGCGGAGCACGCTCCTGGGCGCGGGCAGGTCCGGATTCCCTGCGGATGGGGCTCAGGGATAGGATCGGGAGATCCCCCCGGGGCAGCGGGCAGGGCGGGCAGGGGCGGGCACCTGTCATCGTGCGCAGGACGTGGGTCATGGCGCTGAGCACCTCGGCGTCGCTCAGCGTCTCCATGTGCTCCGACTCCTTCCCCGCGATGAAGCCGCACAGGACGTGCCCGTGCCTGGGGCGGGAAGGCGGGGCTGAAAGCTGCTACCCCCCTCCCCGTGCCCACCAGCGGCCCGGATGCCCCAAATCCCCCGTCACCTACTGCTCTGGCGGCTGCAGCACCACGAATCCGATGAGCTTCTTGAACCAGTTGGCCTCCAGGTCAGCGTCGGGCTCCTCCAGGGGCGACTCGTCCTCCCACACCACTTCCAGGAGCTGCTGCTCGGGCTCCCAGAAAGGCTGCTGGAACTCCAGGAAGATCTTGTTGTTGGTGCCGAAGCCCAGGTTGCGAATGGCCTGTGCTTTCCGCTCGGGAAGGGGGGGCTGGAAGAATTCCTGGTGCCGTTCCTTGAGGAAACCTGCAGCCACAAGTCCAGGCAGGCAACGGGGCAGCTGTCAGCTGGGCTCCTAAATGGTGTCTGAGATGCTCTGAGCTCCCCAAACCCCTTCCCAACCTCTTCCCAGCGGGAGAGGGGAGGCTGGGAAGGGGTTTAGGCAATCCCTGCCCTCCGCTCGCCCATCTGGCCGGAGGGCAAGGGCAGAGCAAGGGAAGGTGTTGGTGTCCTCACCCAGCGGGACAGTGACGATGACGTGGTCAGCGAGGAAGACATCTCCATCCTCGCACTCCACCCGCACGGGGAAAACCCTGCCGCCATCGTCGCCTTCCTCACGGAAGGAGCCTTGCCAGTGGATGGTCCTCACGGCCTTGTTGAACAGCACGGTGCCCTCGGGCAGATCAGAGAGCAGGCGCTCGGCCAAGCTGCTGTAGCCACTGTGGGAGGAGTCAAGCGCTGGAGACGGGGCGGCCCCGGATCGCTCCTCCGCGTCCCGCTGCGCAGCTTCGCGCTTACCCTGGGAAGGTGCAGTCCAGGCCGGGCAGCGACACGTACTCCCCGAAGGGCTCCAGCCCCACCAGGTCCATGCTGTGCGTCCCGCTGATGCAGCACTCCAGCTTGAGGCAGGCGGCCAGCACGGCCAGCTGCAGCCGCCGCGCATCCTCCTGGCCCCCCGCCATGGTGGGCACCGTCCGGGCGATCTCCGCCCGCACGTACTGCCCCACGCTGGGCCACGGCGGCTCCTTGGAGCCCTGGAAAGCGCGGGTGGAGGCCAGGAGGGCGTAGAAGAGGTCGCGGGCTTCGCGCACTGCCTTGGGATTCAGCACCTTGCCCGAGCTGCCGTAGGTGACGGACGGCAGCGGGGGGTGGCCGCCCGCCTCCACCTGCTGGTTCTCCTCCCGGGCGGCCTCCGGGCCCAGCAGGCCGTACTGGGAGGCCAGGCAGAACACGGGATTTCCCGGCGAGGGGCCGTGGATCCAGTGTGCCCCCCATCTCCGCCAGCCCCGACGCTGCCGGGAAGGAGGGAGGGAGGGAGAGCGGGTCACGCCGAGCCGTGCCCGGCGAGGAGCGCTCGGGGCGCAGCGGGACCCCCGCTCCCCGTGGCCCCGAAACGGCCCCCGCTGCCCCCCGTGAGCGGCTTCCGTTCGGTCCCCGCGTGCTCACGGGACCGGCCACCCCCGCCACGTGTCCGGCCCACTCCGGACCGGCCCCACGGGCCGGGGGTCAGGTGCAGCAGCTCCCGCATCCCGGTACCGCCGCCCCCCGCCCTGGCCCGGGCCCGCCCCCCGATGCCGCCCACCCCCGGTTCCCGGAGCCTGCCCCGGCCTCGCCGCCCGTACCGAAGGGGCGGGTGCAGACGCGGCCGCCAGCGCGGGCCGCCGCCTCCAGCAGGCGGAGGGAGCCGCGTCCGCGGAGCCGCTGGGCCGCCCCCAGCCCCGCCAGCCCCGCGCCCACCGCCACCACCCGGGGCCCGCTGCCCTCCATGGCCGCCCGCGCCGGCCGGTACCGCCCTCCGCCGCCGCCGGCACCGCCCCCCGCCAACGGCACCGCCCCTGGAGCGGCCCGAGCCCCGGCAGGGAGGGAAGGAGGAAGGAAGGGATGGAGGGAGGCAGGGATGGGGTCCCGGTGCGGTGATGAACCGGCTGCCTGCACCCACGGAGGGCAGGGCTGGGAGAGGGGACACCCCTGGAGTTGGGGTAGCCCTGGGACCACCTCCCCACCCTCCTCCTCTCCCCATTCTGCTCCCGCTCATCCACCTTACACGGTGGCGGCCAGCCTGGCGAGTTGGAGGAGCAGTGGGTGCCCATCGCCGCACACATCCCAGCAGAGCTGCCCCAGGGCCAGTCCCAGCGCTCCCGCCCACTCGTGATTCCCAAACTTTCATGGATACAATAAAACTCTCCACTCCCAAGGCTGTCTGGTGGGGTTTTTTTTGCCAGCAAGAGTTCCTGCCCCCTGCCCAGGGGTGGGGTAGGGTACTGGATGTACTGGGATACTCCCAGTTGGGACCCTTGGAGAGCCTGCATTGCCACCCAGCTCTACCAGCTGGCCCTGCGTCCCTGCTGCCAGAAAATATTCACATGCAAGGAAGAGCTGAGAGTGTCAAAGCACAGGCTCCTGTAACCCCCTTTGAGTATTTATTTAGGAGGGATTTTCCTCACCTCCGGGTTTGCAGCAAGCAGCAGGGTGGGACGGGCTGGGGACATCAGCCTGGCAGCACCTTCCCGGGGGGATGGCAGCCCTGCAACCCAGCCCAGGGCATTTGGGGTCACCAGCTCCCAGGGGTGAGGGATGATCATTCCCAGTGCCTTGGTGCTGAGCCCAGCAGCCATTCCTGGGGACCTCTGGCCCCTGAGCCCCTGCCCCAATAATGCAGGCAGCTGCCTGGCTTGGCCCAGATGGAGACCTTCCACTTCCTGGGGACTTGTCTTGGGGAAAAAGGATCCTCCAAATCCTGAACCCCCAGGGCTGCAATGTGGGGCCAGAGCCACTGTTGCTGCTGCCAAGAAGGATTTGGCCTCATGCATTCCCTGGATTCCTTTGTGTGCCATAGCTGGGGGCTGCTCTCAGCCTGTTCCCCCACAGGCCCAGCTGCCTCTCACCTCCTCACAGCCTGGCTGCTCTAATCCCCAGCCCACTGTGGGGTCATGGCAGGGTCCCCATGTGTCCCTGGGTCAGCACCATCATGTTGGGGCCCTTCCCAGCAGGGCTGGTGGCTCCTGCCTGCTCCAGTGCCTCGGCTTACTCTGGTGCTGCCCTCCCAGCACGGTGCCACCGGAGCTCCCAAGCAAGGAGGAGAGACCCAGCAACCAAGGGATGCGTAGAAAGCACCATCACCACAAGTGTGTCAGGCCAGCAGGAAGGAGGGGACAGCAGGCAGTGTCCCAGCCCCTCCTGGGGCTGTCTCAGCTGAGGGACAGGGGCCAGGCCACCGGGAGCTGCTGCTCTACCGGGACGCCTCCATCAGGCTCAGGATGCTGCTGTAGAGGCGCCTGGGGGCGTCCAGGCCCCAGACAAAGTCCCAGTGGTTCCAGTCGGGGATGTGGGTGTAGGTGACGAGGTGGCTGATGCGGGGCAGCAGCTGCAGCACGTCCCTCCAGTCCGCTGCCCAGTCCTGCCCTCCTGACCACACCGCCGTGGGCACCGGCATCTCCTCCGGGCGGTACAGGGGCGGGGTGTCCTGGGGGACACGGGCGGTTCTCAGGTGTCAGGGAAGCCACTCTGTCCCTGCAGCACCCTGGAGAGACCCCCAGCACCTCCAGCTGCCAGCACTGCCACGGCAGCTCCTACCTGGTGGTACCGAGCGCGGTTCTCACTGCCGTAGTCAAAGGCTTTGAATTCTCCGGATTTTATCACCTGGGGAGAGAGGGTGGGTCTGCTGGGAGAGGATGGATCTATGAGAGGATAGATCTGCTGGGAGAGGATGGATCTGCTGTGAGAGGATGGATCTATGAGAGGATGGATCTGCTGGGAGAGGATGGATTTGCTGTGGAAGGATGGATTGGCTGTGAGAGGATGGACCTGTTGTGAGTGAGAGGACGGATCTGCTGGGAGAGGATGGATCTATGAGAGGATGGATTTGCTGGGAGAGGATGGATCTATGAGAGGGTGGATCTGCTGTGGGACGATGGATCTATGAGAGGGTGGATCTGCTGTGGGAGGATGGATCTGCTGGGAGATGATGACTCTGAGAGAGGATGGATCTGCTGTGGAATGATGGATCTGCTGTGGAAGAATGATCTGCTGGGAGAGGATGGACCTGCTGTGGGAGGATGGATTTGCTGTGGAAGGATGGATCTGCTGGGAGAGGATCGACCTGCTGGGAGAGGATGGATCTGCTGTGAGTGAGAGGATGGATCTGCTGTGGGAGGATGGATCTGCTGTGGGAGGATGGATCTGCTGCTGCATGGGTCTTGTATCTCACGGCCCCCTCGAGGCACCCATCATGAGAGGGTGCTCAGAAAGAGTTTGTGGAAGTCCCTGCCCTCCATGTGCCCATCTCCAACCATGCCAGCTGGCTGGGGACAGGCAGGACAAGGTGTTGGTGTCTCACCTGTGGGACATTGCAGGAGGAGATGGCATTCCACCTTTTTTAACAGGGTGGCTGTTTGCCCTCTGGCTCCATGCCTGTCCCTAGCCATGGGCTGACAAGCCAAGGTGCTCCACAGGACTCCTTGGCTGCCCTGGTGCTCGTCCCTCTGAAATCCTGCTCACCACCAGCTGTGTGTGCAGGGTGCTGCTGCAGCTCCTCCAACAGCCTGATTGTCCTTTTCCAGCCTCCATTACCAATAATTTGGCTCTGCAAGGAGGCACATGGGTGGGGCTCTCCAGCCTGACCCCATTTCCAGCAGGGCCAGTGCTGAAGCTGCAGAGTCCATCTCCAGGGTGTCCAGGACCCCTTTGGACAGGGCGAGACGTGGTTGGGTCCCTATTTTCCTCCTTATCCAGTTCTCCTTGGGCTTCATGGTGTCCCCAAGTTCTGCTTTGGTGACTCCTGGGGGGGTCCAACATCCATCTGTGGCCTCCCCATCCTGTCCCTTGTCCTGCCTGGCCCAGCACAGGACACACACTGCAGTGTTCCCTGGTCCCCAGAGGCACCAGGGCAGCTCATCCTGCATCCAGCACCTCTTCTCATTTCTTGCCTTTACTTTCCCAGTGTCTGGGGCCTCTGAGCTCTCGAGTCTCTCCTGGCTCTCAGTGAAGGGCCCATCCCAGGGGGGTGTGTGTGTCAGGGGTCCTACCTGGGCCCAGTGGATGATGTTTTTGACCGAGGTGCCATCTGGATAGTGGGATGTGTACACATCCAGCCGTGTCTGCAAGGAAACAAATCCCAGCTGAGGGTGCTTTCCAGCGGATGGGAGTGGACTGGCAGCTGCCAGGTGTTTCCCAGAGCAGCCACTGCTGAGTCACACTGCCTGAAAAGCTGGACCAGGTTCAGGGATATAATTTTCATTAAAACCCAATTGCTGTGAGGCAGCACGGGGAGGAGAGTGATGGGGATGAGCTCTGTGAGACACCTTCCCTGGGCTCAGGAGCTGTGCCCAAGGCCTCAGTGACTGCCTGAGGTCACCCAGAGGCTGCTTCAGCAGGTGGGTACAGCAGGGGCTGCACACCAGGCTGGTCACAGTGACAGGCAGCCCTAATTCAGAGGTGCTGGCAAGGGCCACCTGGCTGTAGCCATGATATTTTCTGAAAAATCCCTTTGCCAGGATTTTTCTCCTGAGAAGCTGAGAAGCCTCAGAGGAAAACAAAACCAATAATTATCTGCTGCTGTGGAATGCAACAGGTGCATCTTTGATTGGTCCATGTTGGATGTTTCTAATTAATGGCCAATCACAGTCCAGCTATCTCAGTGTCTCTGAGAGTCATGAGTTTCCTTTTCCCTTTTCCTTTTCCCCTTTCCTTTCCTTTCCTTTCCTTTCCTTTCCTTTCCTTTCCTTTCCTTTCCTTTCCTTTCCTTTCCTTTCCTTTCCTTTCCTTTCCTTTCCTTTCCTTTCCTTTCCTTTCCTTTCCTTTCCTTTCCTTTCCCCTTCCCTTTCCAGCCTTCTGATTAAATCCTTTCTTCTATTCTGTTAGTATAAACATAACATATATACCATAAAACAATAAATCAGCCTTGTGATTTAGCACGGAGTCAAGATTCTCGTCTCTTCCCGTGTCAGGACTGCCTGCAAACTTCCACACCTGCCCACTGACATTTACCCAGCAGAGCCTGGGGGGGCTTTCCCTGTCCCAGGGAGGAAAAGCAGGTGGCAGGGGGACACGTGGAAAGCCTGGGGGGGCTTTCCCTGTCCCAGGGAGGAAAAGCAGGTGGCAGGGGGACGCGTGTTGCCCACGCAGGGTCTGTGTGCTGCCAGGCTGGGCAGGGTGGGTGACACAACAGTGACCCTTTGTCCCCACAGAGCACACCCACCATGTTGAGGTTCTTCTCGTTGTAGCCCCCCAGCAGGAAGAGGAGGTTGGCACAGGGCCTGTGCAGCAGCGTGTGCCTGCAGAGCTCGGGGAGGAAGCGCCACAGCCGCCTGATGCGCAGGGACGCGTCCGTTCTGCCCAGCAGCAGCTGCGGGAGCAAAGGGACACACTGAGGCTGTTCCCTGTCCCCCCTCCCTGCAGCCCAGCCCCTGGGCTGCCCCACCAGCCAGGCAGTAAAGGGAATACCCAGGAATCGAGCCCCTGCCCCATGGAGATGTGCACAGCTCGCTGCAGGAGTTGGTGCTGACTGAACGCACACCAGGGAAATCAATATTCACAGCTCTCCTCTTTCCCCCCACTTCCCCCAAGCACTGGATCTGTTTCTCATGGAATCAACATGGGCAAAGCTGGTCTTCTTCAGGTGTTTGGTCTAGGGCCCCTACAAGTGCCCTTGTTGCAGTAAGGTAGAAAAATTATAAAAAAAAGCTTTGTAAAATCAAGGCTGCTCTGGCTGGCCTGTCATTTCTTCTAAGGGAAGCAAGCACTGTGCAAGTTTCCATGTGAAGCAATCCTGGTGTGAGCAGTTCCTTAACATAACAATCTATTCCTGGGTAAAAAACCACCAGCACCTGTATAAACTCTTTTCACACAGACAAAAAAAATTAAAATTACCTCTTCACAAACAACTTTTCTTGCACATACACACCAGGGGTTTGAGTGACCAATGAATACAGAATAACAACTTGTTAAGAACCAATAAAAGTAATTGTCAAGAAAGCTACTGACCAACTGGAGTCACACATGAGGTCTGTAAAACTGTACAAAAAGGACTCATGTGACTAAAGAAGAGGCTTTTCCCACCATGAAGAAAATGGAGTCTCGTGTGATTTATTCCCATGTGCCCCCAAATAAAGACCACGTGTATCCTACAGATGGGAAGAAGAAATGCACTCAACAAGGCCATCCAGGACTGTGTGTGTGCCTGAATTGTGTCTGTGCTAATAAACCAGCAGGAATTAACTGTTTTCTGCTGCATCAGAGAGCCCCAGGGGCTGTGTCTGGGCTTGATCCCTTCTCTAGAATCAGTCATTTTGGGGCAGAAGGGTGTGGAGTAAATCCCTTACCGGAATCATCTGGAGCTGGTTGTCCATGAGGAACTTCATCTTCATGAATGGACTTCTGCTGTGCTTGAGTGACACTACTGGAGCCAGGGCAAAAAACATTTTGACTTTCTGAGCCAGTTCAGGGATGGATGAAAACGCAATAAACGCTGAGAAAACAGAAAAAACAACCTCAGGCTTGCTCCATCTTTCCTCAGGTGCTTAATCTGAGGGCTCACTTGCACCCAGCTCTGTTTAGTTGATGATCTCCACTTGGAAATCTGAGATCTGTTGCCACCTTCTCCTGCTAAATGTTGGTGCAAGAGATGCCCAAAGGGAGGCGACACCTTTATTCCCTTGGCTGATCGGGCACGCCAGTGGTTTTTAAGCCCACGAGGAGGGGAGCCCTCTGCTTTCGGTTGACAAAACCACCAAAATTGACTGTTTTGAGTCTAGGTGGTGGGTGACCCTTTGGAACTCACCAATTGAGCAGCCCTGGGAGTATCCAACGTAGTGGAGCTGCTTCTGCCCCGTTTTCTGCAGCACAAAGTCGATGGCAGCCGGCAGGTCGAACATTGCCATCTCATGGAAGCTGCAAAACAGGAGGGGGATGTTGCTTGCGAGGCAGCAACTTCCCCTGAGCTGCCTTGCACTGCCCAGCTCCACATCTGGGGCTGATTTTCCAGGGGAGAATTCCTGCCATGGATCCCTCCTGCCATGGCATCATCCTGCCCTGTAAGGGCTTAGCCCTCCCACGGCCCTGGTGAGCAGTAAACAGACTGTGCAGAGCCTGGCCAGCATTCCAGTGCCATACCCAGCCAGAGCTGGCTCCCACCAGGGTTACAGCACCAGCTCTGCTCCCTGGGATGCTCTTTCCCCCAGGGGAATGGAGCAATGGTTCCTGCCTGTGTGCCTGCTGGTGGGAGGTGGTGAAAGGCAGACCTGCTGTGTGAGGTTTTTCTACAAGCCTCTTTATGAGCTTGGGGATTCTGCTCTGGAGAGGCAGTGGCAGCTTGAAAAAAGGGCAACAACAAGGTCTAGGAGCAGGGGAGGTGGCAATGACACTCGTGGGCAGCTCAGTGAGGTCCCTGGGGCGGCAGGGCTGGTGTCTCTGTGTGTCCCCACGCAGGTGGCAGTGCCCTGTGCTCTCAGCACTGCAGGGAGGAGCTGGCACCGTGTCAGCAGGCAGGTCTGCTCAGGTGCCCCATCCTCGCCAGGGGAGGCTGTGCCAGGGCTTAGCTGCTCTGACTTGCCTGCCCAGGGGCCCCCACCTCTGCCTAGAGCTTGGTGACAGGCAGAGAGCCTCTGCCAGGCTTTTGTAACACGCTCCAGCCCACCTGAAATCCCAGAATTCCACCTGGTCCGCTGAAAGGTGCTGGTGTCTCCGGGAGCAGCTGGTGCCCCGGCTGTTTGCCAGCCACACATCATAGCCAGAGTCTGCTAGGATGAAGCCAAGGCTGTTGTTGGCCAGGTTTTCCACCCAGTGGCTGCCTTCTCCAAGTATCCCATGCTGGAGAAACACCACTGGCTTGGCCCCTGGGTGCAAAGGAAACAGCACATTTCATCGAAGCACATTCTCTCTATTCACTCACACCAAATTAAGGGCAGTAAAGCCTCTTCCTTGCACTGCCAAAGGACATGCAAAATGTGCATTTTGGCCATGTCTCCTGGTGCTGCAGCTTTGAGTGTAAATTGGAGAAATCCCACGGATTCAGTATTTTTGCTTTAACAAAGACTATTCCCCCAGCCTGTCCAGGCCCATCCATTCCCCTGCTGACATTCAGGGCTTTTATTTTTGGCTGGCTCTGAGTGAAATCGAGCTGTACCTCTGTTCTTAGGCTTTTCTCTTCCGTGAGGAATCCTGTTCAGGTGGATGTAGTAGCCATCAGCAGTCAGCACTTCATACTCCTCACTGGGGTACCCTCTGTGGCAGATGATTTGGCTCTGGGGGAAGAAAAACCCAGGTGGGAAACTTTCCATAGCGAAGGTGCTTATCTGACTCGAGGAGATAAGAACTTGACTTTTACCATCTGGCATGGTAAAACTGAAGTTTTGGGACATGTCTCTGCCCAGGCTGTCTCTGGATCAGCTGAGGGCTTTTTGTGGCAGAGGCTGCTCTGTCCCAACCCCGCCCCAGTGACCTGCCCAGGGGAAGGGGAGATGCTCAGCCGTGGGCAAGGAGGGGAGCTGGCAGCTGCAGGGCTTTGAAACCGTTGAAACCAGAAAGATTTACTGAAACCATTGAAACCAAAAGGATTTCCTGATGCCTGACCCGGCTTTACAGACAGCTGGCACCGATTTCCTGCCGCCTGCCACACGTGTCACATCAGGCTCCGGGTGATGAACCAGGCAGATAAGGTGGTGGGGCAGAGGGATAAACCTGCCGAGCTGGGCTGACTGGAAGGGCACTGGGATAAATCCCACAGGATCCATTGCAGGGCTCCAGAGGCTCTGCCTGAGCTTTATTCATGCTGAGAACTCCACAGACTGTGGAAAATCCAGCTGTGGTCCTGCCCACAGGTTGCTTTGTTATGAGGTTGGCAGGAAAGATTAAATGCAGCAATTTTATCTTATATCCCAGCTTCAGAGCCTCTCAGGGCTCACCTGGACATGGCCCTGAGCGACTTGCTGCTGCTGAAGGAGAGGAGCCACACACAAATTTCTACCCTCTGGGGAGATATCTGATCAAATCCAGTCTGGGATTATCCCCATCCCTAACTGCCCTGCTGTGATTGCATTAATTCTGCTGGGAGGAGGAGCTGGTTAATGATGGTGTGGAGGCAGCGTCATATCGCAGCAGCCCAACAACACCAGCCCTCTCCAAGCCTCCCTCTCCTCCAGCTGAATGTGCCCAAGCCCTCAGACAGGGAATTCAGAGTTCTCCTGGCTTACAACGTTCATGAGAGCCTCGGGGTTCAGAGCCTTCTTCTGCTTGGTGGCGCCTTTGGAGCTCGTGGGTGCTTGGACGAGGAGCAGGACTGCCATGAGCAGCCACATCTCGTGCCTGTGTGAATGATAATAGTGACAACAACAGCAAAAAATAATGATAATGATGGTAATGATAGCAATAGGAGCAGCAGCAAGAGTCACAAGAGCAAAACCGTGGCACGGATGCTGCTGTTGTTGTTATTGTTGGTTGTTATTGTCGCTGGAATTGATGTGAATGTTTGTTTCTGCTTGGTTGGGATGTGTTAGGTTCCTCACAGATCTGGAGATCACATATCATTTTCTGGGCTGGGAAAGTGGAGGGAATTCCCAATTTCAGTTTACTTTGCTGTCCTCATGAGAATTTTTTATATTGTACAGATCTGGTACTAGGCTGGAGCCTTTTTAATATTTTTAATGGCAAGAAGAGAACCAGCTATGCAAGACAAGAACTGAACCAGTACTGGGATAATCCCAGACAGGGCCAGTTGTCTCACAGAGGGAATTAACCTAAAGGGGGAGTTTATGCTATGGAAGGAACATGTTTAGTGTGGCTGGGCTATGACTCTGTCTATACTTTTTGTGTTTCTCTATTCCTTAGCTTTCCTACCCAGAACCCACTGTAAACAGAAGGATCCCATGAGCTGAAACTGGCAGAACCTCACAGGAAGGCTGTTAGTTAAATCAGTGTTGCCTAAAAGAAAACAGAAACCTTTTTGATCACCTTAGGTGCTCCTGAGCTGAGCAGAGGCCTATTTTCATGCACACAATTAACATTACATATGATTTCTGACGTTGTGCCAGGCTCTCAAAAGTTAGAGCCTAACTTCAGCCCAGCAGCATGAACTGTGAATTACTCTCTGCCTCCCTCCTTCTGCTCCCACACCACGAGACTTTCCTACCCTCTAAATACTCCCAGCAAACCTACCTGTGGTGTCACCAAGCTGTGAGATAAGACCAAAAATAAAAAAAAAAAAAGATCGAGTGATGCTTTCCCCCGCTGGGGACAGCTCCAAAAGGACACAAATCTGAAGGACAAGGAGGGAAATTCGTTACCAGGCAGCTCCAAAAGGACACAAATCTGGAGGACACGAAGGGAAATTCGTAACCAGGCAGAGCCCTGGCACGTCTGGCCAGGCTGCTGGTGGCAGTGCCAGTGGCTCTGTCACCAGCAGAGTTAAAAGGACCAGGCTGTGTCAGAGCCCAGCCACGCTGGCACTTGCTGTTCACGTGTCCTCCAATTAACAGATGGGTGCTGATCACTCCTGGGGCACCTCCCTTCATGGGAAGCTTCTCGTGGCTTTGATTGCGGTTTTGCAGAGGCAGCTGGGTTGGTGTGCTGAGGAATTCCAGCTATGGAGTTGCACCTTAAGCTCTTGATAGCCAGGGTGGAAAAGAAAAAAGCCAACAAGCCAAGAGAAAAACAAACAAACAAACAAACAAACAAAAAGCCAACAGGTTTTCTTGGTAAAGGGTCATTTCCTAACTGCCAGGGTAATTTCCCGTATCCCAGGGTCATTTAGAAGAGTTCCTGGGGCAACAAAAAAGCTTGGTCTGAGCTGATGCCTTGAGAAGGCTGACCTAGAACAGAGTTAAAGAATGAAGCAGGGATTTATTAAAAGGATCTCCTCAATGGATCCACCTTGGGCAGCACAAGAGCCCAGCCAGGGCTGCACCCAAGGTGAACCAAAATGGGCACAAAATGGACACCTGCTCACAGGGTCTGTCACTGGGATCAGTTCTGCTCCATTTGCATCTTGGAGTTCATTGTCCCATTCCAGCTTTAGCCCATCCAGTCCCATCCTTGTTTTTCTCTCTCCAGCCCACGTTGTTTGTGCTCCTGGGCTGAGATTTGGATCATTTGTCCTTGGTCCCCAGCTGGAGCAGGAACTGTTTTGTCTCCCTGCTCTGTGCACAGAGCTCACCATCCCTCAATGTGGAGCTCAGAACTGCACACTAAAGCAGCACAGAACCTGAAAAATACAAAAGCTAAAACCTGAGGCATCATTCTGAAGGCATCACTCCCACCTTTCCAAAGCCTCAGCAGCATGCTGAGCTCCCCAAGGACACCCAAGGGCAGCTCAGGCCTCACTGCCTGCCTGGATGGGAGACACTTGGGCATCCACACCTCATGAGAAGGGACAGAAAGGTCCAAAAGTGTTGTGTTAGCAGGGGGCAATTCACCAAAGCTCTGCAGAACTCTCTGGAAAAGCACCAGGCTGGAGATCCCAGCAGCAGCCAGAGGTACAAGGCAGAGCTGGTGCAACACCCACGCTTGGCCAAAGCCACAGGAACTGCCTGTGCCCACCCAGCCATGCCTGTCCCTGCCTTGGTGGCTGTGGGAGCCCAGGACATCCCTCTGAGTGTCCTGGATGGCTCCAGCTCCTGCAGGGGGCTCAGAGACCCTGGCACAGAGCCCAAGGCACCTGTGACTTTGATCTTGACCCATGGAGCAAATGACCAGCTTTGTATGAAGTATTACAAGCCAGGAGAGTTTAAGTAGAATAATAGTTAGTTGTCACAGGGTGAAAAGGTGGAATTTTAAGGTTTTCAGAATGGAGGTTTGGGGTCCCAAGATGGAGGAATTTGGGCGTGCCCCGTCCTTCTTATTTCTCCCTCCTCGCCTCCATCTTCTGGGTGATGCTGGCCCTTTGGGATTGGTTTAGAGTAGAGACAGACTGTGTAACATGCAGGCTGATCTCTCAGCCTCCTATTCAATCTTCTCCCAGGTGTGCTCATGCAGAGGGTGTCACACGGGGCTGTGGGTGCTCAGAGCTGTGTCACATCCCTGCCAGGGCACAGCAGTGTCACCCTGCTGCCTGACCCATCCTCCCCACCCTCACTCAGGGCAGCAGCACACACAGGACTCGTGGAGGGGAGCACGGGGAGAGGTGCCTGCTCTGCCTGCTCTGGGCTTTTGGAAATGTCCTCCCTCGCCTGTGAGCATGAAAATCCCACTGCAAGGAGTCAGAGAATCGTGGAAGGGAACTTACATAGGTTGGAAGGATCTTAAAGCTCATCTCATTCCACCCCTGCCATGGCAGGGCCACCTTCCACTGTCCCAGGCTGCTCCAGCCTGGCCTTGGGCACTGCCAGGGATGCAGGGGCAGCCCCAGCTGCTCTGGGCACCCTGTGCCAGGGCCTGCCCACCCTGCCAGGGAACAATTCCTCATTCCCAATATCCCATCCAGCCCTGCCCTCTGTCAGTCTGAACCCATTCCCTGTGTCCTGTCCCTCCAGTCCCTGTTGCAGGGTCCCTCTCCAGCTCCCCTGTGTCCCTCCAGGCCCTGGCAGGAGCTCTGAGGTCTCCACACACCCTTCCCTTCTCCAGGCTGAGCATTCCCAGCTCTCCCAGCCTGGCTCCAGCCCCCTCAGCAGCTCCATGGACCTGCTCCAACAGCTCCATGCCCTCCTCATGCTGGGAGCACCAGGGCTCACCTGAGTGGGGCAGAGGGGCAGAATCCCCCCTGCCCTGCTGCCTTCTCACCCCACTACTCATTCTCTAGTGCAGGTACTAACTAGTAGTAACAGTGATAAGTTAATAGTAGTAGAGGCTGGAAAGGCAGCAGAGCCTTCTCTGGCATCCCCAGGCTGTGGAATGAGGCCATTGGAGCAGTGTGTCAGTGCTGAGGTGAGTGTGTGATTCAGCACCTGGGGTTGTTCCACCTGTGGTGGAAGGACAGAAGGTGGCAAAAAAAACCCCAAACAGCTGGATTTTTACTGAGGAACTCTTGTGTAGCTTAGTTAAAGGGAGGAATGAAGACCTTTGAGGACTTGAAGGAGGTTGGGGTTAGATGGGACATTGGGAATGAGGAATTGTTCCCTGGCAGGGTGGGCAGGCCCTGGCACAGGGTGCCCAGAGCAGCTGGGGCTGCCCCTGCATCCCTGGCAGTGCCCAAGGCCAGGCTGGAGCAGCCTGGGACAGTGGAAGGTGTCCCTGCCATGGCAGGGGTGGAATGAGGTGATCTCTAGGGTCCCTTCCAACCCAAAGCCCTCTGGGATCCCACATTCTCAGAGGGATGTGTGTCCAGGGGGCTGCTCAAGGTGGGACACAGCAGGCCAAGGTTTCCAGCCAACAAATCATCCATGTGCTTCCTGGGCTCTGCCTGAGCCCCAAACCCTGTATTCTTCTTGTCCTCTGAGGCCTTTAAGAATCAAAATTTACACCTCCTGGTGTGGTGTGTTGCTTGTTAGCTTCCCACTTCACAGCCATCAGGCAGCATTGCTGCTGGATGCCTTTCGTGCTCTCATTTGAGGCATCACAGGACTGCAACCCCACCTGCTGCTGGCACAACAGGAAGGGAACCAGCCCTTGGGATCAGCTGTGTCCCCAGTGCTGTCCCTCAGGTGCAGGTCTGCTGCTGCTGAGTCACCTCCTCTGAGGCACACTGCTGCAATCAGCACCTCCTCAGCCCCTGGATTGGGGCTAATCCTGCCCTGGGCTCTCCATGCCCACCCTCCCTCCACCCAGGGCCCTGCTGCTCCTCCTGCTGCTCCTTTCCTGTGCCCAGGGTGCCTCTTGCCAAGGGTAAGGCAGCCACAAATCACCTGGCCCTGGCATCCTGAGCTGGGGAAGGGAGCAGCAGCCTGGTGTTGGCAATAGGAGAATGCCAGCTCTTGTGCAATTCCTGCCAGATAAACACAAAACTGCCTCGCAGTAACCTTGGAGAACACAGCTAAAGAACCTGCTGAGTCCTTATCTGCTCGTGCTTTTCCTGGTTTAAAGTCCCTTTGGGTGTCTCTGGTTTGCACATTTATAGGGGTTTTGCCCGTGCTGGAGTTGCACAGTGGAGCTTGGGGAAATAGCTGATCTTTTCACAACACCTTGTTTGGGTTGTTCATGCAATCATTCCATTCTCCCTAATGAAATGGAATAAACAAAACCATAAATGTGGGTTGGGAAATAATGGAGATGTGGTCACTGGTGTTTCTTCTCTGGTAATTCCTCCCCTGTTCCTGTGTTCAGAAGAACCCAGAACAACCCTGAACTTTTTGTACTTCTTCCCTGATCTCTCTTCATTGGCTTTAAAGTGTACTTTACAGCTGAAAGAGTTTGGTTTGTGGCTGAACAG